TTCGATGTTTATTAGCCATTTCAAATCAATGTCCCATACTGAGTTTCTAATATTTTCCTTTAAGCCAGCTCCTCACACAGTCTCACTTATTCCAGTTAAAGGCAATGACATTTTTAACTATGACTCAGGCAAAACAATTATTTTTTTCCCCATTCATACCACATCAGATCCACAGCACATCCTGTCAACTCTCACTTTAAGATACATCATAATTCAATCATTCCCACTACCCTCAGGGTTATCCTATGTGTGATGTGCATCTATGCTACCAAGTGTGTTCCCTAATTAGGTGATAGAGCTATATATATGTATAATTTATATGCAGAAATACACTCACATATTAGGCTCATGCATATAAATACTGACAGTATCTATACTATAGACAGTATATATTTATTTCTATTTTCCAAAAATATTGAGGATTTTTATGATTCTTTTAGTGCACTATCAGTGTGCCACCTAGAAAACGGTATTAGGCTGTTTTCCTTTCTTTGACCTCTTTGTACATTTAATCCCTTAATAGATTCCTTAATATAAAACTATATTAAAAGAATCAGTGGTGTTTCTCACTCTCTAACTGAATCATGGGCTTTTTATTTCAAACTTTATTTCTCTCATCTGCAGGGGTGCTTATGCTATAACCAGAGGGTCTTGCTCTGTTTAAGCAACCCAAACTAAAAATGAGATGAGTTTATGCCCTCGGGGAGGTAAGACCTGACTCACAACCAATATGGAGGGAGATTGGTGGATTGATGCCTAGTTCCTGCATTCTCTAGTGAGGTATTCTGAGACATATTATGACAGATTTCTCCACCGAGTTCTTCAGTGGGCCTGAGTTCCTGATATCCATAGAGTAATGTGTTTATTAGCACAACCTTACTTGTTTTCTCCATTCTCCATCCTAATTTCTCCTCCCCTTGTGTTTCTTGGCATCATTCTTGAAATAAACTAACTGTATCCAAGTAATTATTTAGTCTCTGCTTTTGTGGGAACTCCATTTAAGGCATACAAGTATTAATTTTTTTATTCCATTTAAATTAATTACCTTTTTCAGATTTATCTATAGTGCTAATTATGCTTTCTACTTAATAGGGAACATGTTAGGAACTGTAAATTAAGTTTTTCTATTATGATTATGTTTATTTCTATTTCTCTTACAGTTTTTTATTTCAATTTACATTTTATTTCTCTTGATGTTATGCTATCTGGTAGATCTCCAGAATCATGGTTTGATTTAGCTTTCTATTATAAAATAGGGATCGGAATCTTTAATAGTAGGCAGAATTCAAAACATATAGATAGAAAAAAGACAAAACAGTTGTGGGAGTGTCTCAAGTCAGGGTTTTACAAAAGACAACAAAGATTTTTTTGACAAATGACCGAACATTCTATATTAAAAGAGAATTTTATTGTTCTGTGATGGATAAAATTGTCCTGAGGGATATTTAACCTTACATGCGCTGCTGTGGAATTTCTCTTTTATATAGGTACCCTGCTGTTAATGTTATAAAAACATAATCTTGTAATATTTCAGTGAAATGTCTTAATTTAGATGAATAAAAGATAAATATTCACATAAATTTGTTTGTAAAGTGCTGATTTATACAAATGCAGAACAAATTCACTCGCTGGGAGATGTTTTCTTTCATTTAACAACATGTTGTTAAATGAGACTCAATGCAGACTGACGGAGGTGTTCCAAGTCATGTTTCCTGACCACTGAAGAGAATGTAACTCTGACCTAATATAGCCTTTTTATACACTCCCTGGAAGGATAAATGCAAAGTCTCAAAGGAGACAGCAAGGGACATACATAAAGTATAGGAGCACCCAGATAAAAGAGAAATGGATATAGTTTCAGGAAGTCAGGGATCTTATTACACTAGTCGATACTACATTGAATGGAAGAGTAATGACATACAGAGAGTAGCTTTGTACTAATGACAATAATAATATCTTTGTAAACCTCCATATTTTTGAAGCACCAAGCTCTAAAATCAGCTTCACAGAGCAAAACATCTTAATTTTCTCTCCAAAAAATTTAGCAATTTTCTGAAATATGTATATTTTGCAGGATGATAGCATATTAAATGTTTAGATGGGTTTTCCTCCTATTTAGAGACAGGAATCTATAGTTTTCCCTGACTCTGTATACCCTAGCCCAGCTTAAATTATCACAACATTCTTAAAGTAAAAGTTAATCGTAATTCACGTAGTTCAAATAATATTTTTTATAGAATTTAAAGGAATGTTAAGTAAAAAAAACAAACCATAAACAGTAATCAAGTGTTACCCTTTCAAATAGGCTGGGAAATGTTGATTCCAGTAATTTGTTGTCTTTCTAAACTTTAGTTGTTAGGCTCAAGCCAGGTTCAGAAGTCATAAGTTCAAAAAGGAATCTTGGAATACAGAAATTTATTTTCTATTTGAAGTCTATTAATGTCATAGTTTAATACTGATAATTGTATCATTGGCCACAATTACTTGATACTTAAAACTATTCTTTTAACAGATGCTGAAATACAAAACAGTAGTTTAAGTTTAAAAAAGACCCTTAGTATTATTCTTAACTCTTCTCTTCTTTTTATAATGGACCTCAATTCCATGGTTATACCTTCAAAATATTCTTAAACCATGGCTTACTTCCTTAGGTTTTCTAGCTGTCTGCTCAAATGTGTGTGTGTATATATACACACACACACACACACACACACATAGATACACGCACACACACCTCCCCCTCCACATCTTCTTTATCTATTCTTCTGTTGATGGACATTTAGGTTGCTTCCATGTCTTGGCTATTGTATATAGTGCTGCTATGAACATTGGGGTGCATGTCTCTTTTTGAATTAGAGTTTTCATTTTTCTGGATATATTCCCAGGAGTGGGGTTGCTGGATCACATGGTAACTTTGAATGATAACAAACTGGAATAGATACTTATTGAATAGGTGGGACAAATCTATGAAACAGCTATGCTGAAAAAAATGTGTTAATGTTCCAAAATGTAAAGTTTCCTAAAGATTAATGTGAAATACCTTTATTTAAAGAAAACCTTATATATTACATATTACATATGACAACTGAGAATACATAAACATTTTTTTAAAATGTGCTCTGTACTGTCAGAAATGTATACTGAAATAAGAGGGTCCAGTCATAAGGCAATTACTTCCTAACTTACACTCATCCATTTCCTGCCCCTTAAAAGATCGGAATCTAAGCAGGCCTCTACTGGAAAACACAAGTGGGAAGACTAAGAATCAACTGTCAGTCACATTATATCTGAATACAACTTATCTCAGGTGCATTATCTCAGGGTTTGACTTCATTTCACAGTTATATAGTCATTTATTTGTTGACTTTATGACCCCACTACAATGTAGGCTCTGTGAGGACAAGAACTTCACTTAGTTCACTACTTATTATCCAGTGCGATAATAGTAGGAGCTCAATAAATGTATGCTGAAACAATTACGGAATTGATTTGATCTCTGTAGAACCTGCTGCAGTGTGAAGCATGTTTCTAAAAAGACTTTAGAGGATTCACTTCACATTCTTTTCAGTCCTCTACCACCCAAATAACACTTGCTGATTCCAGTGGCTGCCTAAGAGAATGGAACAATAGAGTTCATTTCCGTCATGGGCAGAATTTAAAAGAGCAGTATCTGAAGCATAAGACAAAGCAGCAAATGAGTCATTTCCAGAAATCCAGTCTCTCACTTCATCATCACACAGCCAACTTCAAAACTAGTTGGTAGTCAAGGATCTTCTGAAAATGTGATATTTTAGTTGACAAAAGTTGGTAATATTTCAAGAATATTGTCTTGCGCCTTAGGAAGTTAAAATGAAATGGTAGAATGCTCCAAACTTTCGCTTGTGTATAAAATATAATACAGCTGTGGAAAGAGTGACAGACTGACTTTCCATTAGTACATACTTGGAAAATCTAGTTTCAAAAGAGACAATAAATAAACATGTAGAAAGAGAAATTTCAGGTTGACACATATTATTTGGCTCTCAAAAAATTTAAACATGAAGAAAATCAATCCCATTTTATTTGATCTCCTTAATGCTTACTCATCATAGCAATTTAAAATTCCATGATTTTTCTTCTAAGCTATCTTGTATTAAGAATATAATTAAAGAGAATGGCAATTGTACTTACTCATGGTGACAAATATTCTGTAGATTGTCCCCCTGATTATCTTATTTCCTCAGTTATTGAGCTGCCTAACCCTCCTCACCTTCATAAACTAAGAAAAACAAATCCAGTTCTATGTTCCTTACTTTCATGATATTTTTAGCCCCAATATACAATCTTTCTTCATTGAAAAGCATGTAAACTGTCAACTTAGGTTATATTTTAATATACTCAAATGTGAAACAATAAATTATCTCTGTATATCTATATATATATGTGACTGTTTGATAAAGAACTTCGATTCACCTAGAAGAGACACTTCTTTTTCCTCACAGATCCAAATATTAGAGTAAAATCATCATTCATTGTTTTACTCCTAGACAGAAGAAAAGCACTTGGTGGCAACAGAGGAATGGAGAGTGGAAGTGGAGCCCTAAGTGTATTGTGTAGTTTCTCTATAATATGACTCCTTGGACTGGATTTGAACAACTATGTCTGAACAGTGGAGGGCTGGAACTCAAGCACAACGTCTGCACAGGAGAAAGTATGAGATTAAGGACAAGGGTTTGAGAACCAATTCAGACGACTGCTCAGAAAAGAACTATTAGTTTCTGACCATAAGCAGGGTTGCTTCAGCGCTTAGAGGACATAGCCTGGCTGTTTGGAAAAGGGTCCTTCTCCTATGCCAGTCCAGAGCTCATCAGTGCTCTGGAGCTCTATGGATTGTCGGCGTGGGGAGCACAGTGGAAGCAAAGTAGCTGGCACAAACATGATTCTACAAGAGATGACATTAGCATGCCTTCATTTAGTGTTTTTTTTTTAATTCTTTTTTTTAAACTTCAGCTTTATTCCCTGAGGGGTGAACCATGCCTACAGGAACTGCAACACCAGTTCAATGCGTGGAGTGGAGGGAGGACGCTCCTATTCCAACACTGTGCTCTAAAAATCCATTTAATGTATTCTCCTTTGATAGAGGACATATCAGATATTAAACTGTTAAGGACAGTTATTACACTTGATCTTAGCCAAAAGGCCGAGAAGCAATCATTCAGTATTTTTGAAGTCTATGTTTAAATAACATGGATCATGACTTTGATTCCTGCTAATGAAAAGTAACACTCTTTTGACAACTATCCCCCTAAACACACATGTAAAACCTTGGCACAACTTTATTGAGATGACAATTCTCCCCACACTGATACATAGATTCAATGCATTCCCAGTAAAAAGCACAAGTCTTTAGAATAAAATGACAAACTGATCTTAAAATTTAAATGGGAAGGCAAATAAACAAGAATAGCCAAAACAATTTCATAAAAAAATAAAGTTTAGAGCACCTACATTACCTGATTTCAAGGTTTACTATAAAGTTGCAATAATCAAAATAGCACCTTGTTTGGATAAGCAGAGATGAATAGATCAATAGAATAGAGTCGAGATATAGACCCTCACTTTGACTAAAGTATCTGGTAAATCAATGTAGTATACTATTTTCAATAAATGATGCTGGGGAAACTAGGTACCCATTTTGAAAAAGAATGAAACATGATTTTTATCTCATCATGCACTAAACACACAGACACACATGATGGATTTAAGACCTAAAGATGGCATTAACACTATCCAACTACTAAAATAAAATAGGGAAACAAAAACTTGTGACTTTGGTTAACGATTTTTTAAACAAAAACAGAACAATTCATAAAAGAAAAAACAGTGATAAAATGTACTGCATACAAATTGAAAACATTTGTTCTTAAGAAGATATACAAGAAAAAAAAAGGTCAGCCACACTGGGAGAAAATATCCATAAAATCTCTATCTGACAGTGGACAATGGAGCTGGAAAAATAAAACAAACATTAAAAAAATTATTATAAATTTAAAAAATACTAAAAT